AACTGATGTTTGTACTTTGGAGATTTTAAAGGAAACTAGCTGTTAAGAAGAAAAAACAGTTCTTCAAAATTATTTTAAAACTATAGGCCTACTATGCAGGATATTTTGCTTGACCTTTACATATGATGAATCAATATGAACATACCAGTCAAAAAAGACTGAGGATTAAAGAAACCTGGAAGCCACACTACTGCAGGAAGTACAAGATCTTGTGTCCAGGTATCAAGTTCTCGGCATCGTAAAAGGAGGTCATTAAACCTGAACAAAAATATAGCAAGGTAAACATGGGCATACAACGAATTAATTTTGGGAATAATTTGCATTATATAATTTATATCACTTTAACATCTATATTCTTGCTTATTAGTAGTAGGTGATACAAGTTGTATGGAATAGCCTGTTGTATGTGAATTATATTATCTACTAATAAACAAGAAAATATATGCTAAATTGGGGACAGATTAATACCCGATCTAGGAAAAATTTTAGAGGCTCTTCATCTCTTAAATTCTGAGACATACCTAATGATATCAAAATGTCAACAACAGTAGGACATGCAAAATCATACTAATGTAATTATGTTCATTTTAAGGTTCAAAAAGATTTTTGAAATTTAAATAATGCTTTTTTTTAGCTTTGAAAAATACAATTTATGATTTATAAGGTAACTAAAGAGGTCCAATAGTTAAAGAAATGCATTTACCATTGTGCAAGACTGTAAGTAGATGGATAAGCCAGACTGCTCCATGCATCTGGTACCAGGTCATAAAACAGCGATGACTGTAAGGTTTCCATGCTAGATGAAAATGTTAGCTCACCCTAGAAATTTGGACCAGAACAAATGCTTAAATTTACAATCCCAGTTTAAGACCCTTTTTTTTTTTCATAGTACATGTTACATATTCCTTACTTTTAATCCAAGGTCTAACTGTTTAATTGATCGTCGTATCTCTCTAATGAGAATATTCATCCTCTCACATTCTTGAAAACACACAAGAATATACGGGCTTCGTACAGCAGACTTTTGCATTATTTCAGCCAAGTTAAATTCTTCTGGCAGCTTCTCCAAAATTTCATCCAGAACATTCTTCACCTTAAGTTATGAATGCAGAGCAAAATTACCAGATAAGTATTCTGTTTACATTTAATACATGCTCTATACAGCAAGCTCTGGTTGGAATAAATGTTGAACAGTGCATAAAAGAATACAGGGATATACATAATGCTTGTCATTTGGGGTAAGCATGAAACAGGAAATGCATTTTGTTTCAAACTTGAATCAAAATATTGTGATCCAGAAGTTCTGCCAAACTGTTTGGAAATGGCTGTAGTTCAGCATAAACAAAAGCCAAAATATTTTGGTTGTTCAAATGAAACAAAATTGGAAGGAGGTTTTTGGGGCTCTTAGGGTAAGTCTGGTATGCATTGCCCTGTCTCCCTTCCTACCCTCAACAGTTCCTGGCGTGGTATATCCTACTGGTCCTCCTGATCTCAAGGTCTTCCCTTCCCTACCTCCTCTCAGCCATCACCAATTCCATTACTTTTTCCTGCTGTTCCCTCTGCCCACCTTGGCCTGAAACAGTTACGTTTCGGTCTGTATCCGAAACAGAATGCCCCTGCTTCATTCCATGTATAGATGAACATAACTGAAATAAGTGTTTCAGTTTAGGCATGGACTAAAGCTAATTCTTCCATATGCGGAACAGTTAATGCATGGAATGTTTCACACATACCTACTTGTTAAATATTTATGTTCAGGAGGAACAAAGTTTTAACTCTGATTGCATTAAAATTAAGAATTAATGTGGTTCTGTGAGGGTATTATGGAATAAGCTTTTGCAGAACACCACGGTCTCACCTTTTCTTCTGCTGACTGTCCTATAATTTCTCCAGCAAGCAGATTTCTGGGCTGCATTTCCAGCAGAGTTTTGAATAGGTTATCAGACAGCACCGTTAAGAAACCTATCTCAGCATTAGGATGGAGGCCATACAGTGCAGGGCTTTCAAGGGGCAGCATTTCATCAATATATTTGTGGTAGCCAATATAATCCAAATTGGGAGGAGATAGGAAACCAGGAGCCAAAGCAAAGTCGCCTTCAAGCTGCAGTTAGAAAAAGAATATTTTTCATCTTCAAGCAAAATCCATTCAACACTGAGATATTGTCTGTGAAAGTGTAAAATTCTTATTTCTTATTGTAGTACTTTCAATAGGTTATTTTTCAAGTAGGAAGGCATCTCTCTTATCCATGATGGGTATAATAGGAACAGTTCTGGATGCAACCTTGCTAAAGAAGTTGTCTTTAAATAGCAAGAAACCTCATGCAGAACATTCACAAGTAATTGTATAGTCCTCTGGATAACATAAAAGGATGTATGGATCAGTGGCAAATTCTATTCTGTCACAGGGAAATCAATCTATATTGCCAAATTGTAATGAGGTATTTTTCCACATTTGTCTGTTGTTTAACATAACTTATGTGATTATACTAATATATATTTTTCCACACAGCTGCCCTAGCATATGCATTTTATCTGTATAGCTTATATGCCTTATTTAAATGCAACTTAGCCCTAACATTTTTAAATAACGTTTATCTGAATATACAATTAGTTTTATGAATTTTTCTAGCTGAGAGCAACAGATGGCTGAAGACTGACTATATCATAGCAATGTCCATTTTGGAAAATCACAATAAAAGTTATCTGATGGTTTTCTTTTATAGCCTTACTGATCTATCTTTAATTACCCCTATAACACCAAGAAAAGACACATTCTAGTCCCAATACCTTTACAAACATGAGATCAGCCCCTCTCCTGCTATTGTTCTTGCAACTGGTATTTTAAGACAAGCTGCCCCAACCTGTAGACCACCTTTCAGCGAGCCATCTTGAGTAAGCAGAGGCTTTTTTTTTTAAAATCTCATCAATACACATGTGGTAATCTACTTCTCCCCAGCTTACTGCCCCTCCATCCACAGATTGCAAATGGGTCTTGTTTATTCTTGTAGATTAATTGGGAGAGAGTCTCTCTACACATGGGTCCATAACAGTCTACACAAGTATGTATTACATTTTTTTTAATTTCCAGGGGTGCACTGGACAATATTGGACTTTTAGAAGTATCAAAGACGAACAAAATGAGACCCTGTTATGCTTCCCTTCTCATTGTACTGCCCTAGCTCCCTCACCCCTTCTGTAAATTGTAAGGGGCTCAAATTTTTTTTTACACCAGCTGGTCCTAGCCAACATCTAGAATAACCCAGCCAACATGGATATTGCTAAACATTTTGGGAGTTGAAGCCCAAACACCAGAACAGTTCCTGGGATGAGGGAAGCTGCCTTATACCTTTCTAATTTAGTTTCCACCTTTACATGATTCCTGGAGACCACAGAACATGTCATCAATGGTTGTGATGAGGGGATAAGACTGTTCCCTTCAGGTGTAACGCTGCATAACTGCAGATGCTTACATGTAGATCCATATTTCCCTCTTGCAGCTCAATGGCCTGTTTTGGGTCCAGTCCTGGTATTCAGTCATTTGAATTCACCAATGAGGAGAGTGAATTCAAACTACTGAAAAGTAAAATATTACCTGCTTTATTGTACAGATGGATCAGCCTCATGTGTTACAGCTATGGGAAACCTGTTTTGTATAGGGTGGGTGCACTCAAGGTCCTCTCCCTTAAATGTTGCCACCTGATGGGACTTCAGAGGTGCGCCTTCTCAGTGGCTGCTCCAGCCCTTTGGAACAGCCTCCCACCTGAGATCAGAGGAATCCGTATCCTTTTAAGCCTTCCGGAGGGCCATGAAGACCTGGCTCTTCCCCCAAGCATTGGGCTAGGATGGGGACTGAACTTCAAGGATGTTTGGCTGGGCACCTGGGCAGGAAGGGTACTTTTGATTTTAACCATGTTTTTATGGATTGTTGTGAGCCACCCAGAGTCATTATATGAGATAGGTGGCCATAAGTCCAGTCAATCAATCAATAAATTCATGGAAGGATATTTGGAAATCCAAGTCCACAAAAAATGGAACAACTTGAGTTGTTGAAAGGAAGAAAAATTTAAAAATTGACTAAAAAATCAGCCCAACATTTCTGGCACTTTTGTTGGCATAGAGAAGCCCAGCTTCCAGGGTGACTTTAGGCAAGTCATTCTCTCATCAGCCTACCTTACATGATCGTTATGAGGAAAAATGGGAGCAGGGAGCACTATGTATGCTGCTTTCAGCTCCCGATTGAAAGGCAGGATATAAAACTAATGCCTATCTATCTCTCTTAAAGTTAAATACATATTTTACATTAATTCTACAGAATGTATTTTTCTCATGGATCATTTCACAGTTTGTCTAGCTATAGAGCATTTATTTTAATTAGGATACTGATGATAGTTGCTTGTACATAAATTTTGTATGGGTATAGTTATGCCATAATTTAATCATAATCCTTAAAGTACAGAAGCTTTTGGCCCCAAAATTACCATGTACACCATGCTGAAATTTCCACTGCCACACCCCTACCCCACTTTATCGATCATCTCGATTAGGTGCAACTTTAACACGAGACCCAGTAAAAATGCATGTGAAAGAAAACAGATGTGCTGTAGTTCTAGACCTTTCTTTATGTTTGCCTGTCATTGAAGAAATTTTTGTTTCATGGCTTATGCAGGGAGAGACCATTGTCCAATTAAACCAAAAGATACTATTCTGTTTTGGAATATCTAAGTAGACCCACATTCAAGCTTGGTTAACCAAAGGCATCTAATTTCCATCATTTCTTTCAGGTTCGTCCCTATATTTGACACCTATTTGAAAGAAAGAACAGGCTGTGAAGGTTAATGGACTGCCTCGCCTAGAAATAGCAATTCCTACTCGTGGGCTAGATATAGACGAGGTACCGATGGAATGAGCTTCCCACGCTGCCCCCTTGACCTCAGCTGTCATGTAGAGAAATCAGCTTCGGTGGAGGTCAGAAGTACAGTAGTGTTTATCTTTCCCCATCTCCATGGTAACTCACTCCTGGGCCTTCCAATTGACTTCCAATTGTGTTAAACTGAACGTGGCTTTCTGACATATGAAAACCTACTCATTAAGGAGCAAATAAATGCAAGCAAACTCACTTTGCTTTCACCACAGCAGATGCTTCCAACACGAGCATGGTAAAGATGGAGTGGCCTCAAGGCTCTCTGTATTCCATATCACAGATGATCTTTTGGTGCTAGACGTGCCCTCCCCTATCACCTCTAAATATACGCTTAACACTTGGAAAAGACAGTGTGCAGAGGCTGCAGTATATTCCAATTTGGCATTGTTAATCCCCTTGGCATCACTGGATTTAACCAGACATGATTCTGTCTTAGACTGCAAGTGTAAGAACCCTTTGAGGATAGACCAAAGATGGTTTAATTCAGTATTGTGTTTCTTCAGCAGCCAGATAAAGGGCTAAGGAACACAACTCTCTCTCCAGCAAGTGGTATTTAGAAGTATATTGATTTCAATTGTGGAAATTACATATTGTTTTCATCACTAGTTAGTCACTGATATAATCTTATTCAACCTTAATTTATTTACACCCTTTAAAAGCTGTCCAGAGTTGGTGAACAACCAGCATTTTGTGAGCAAATTCTGCATTCTGCTGCTGTGTGAGATGCCTCCTTTTTTGCCCCAAATCTCCCACTATTTGGCTTTACTGTATAATATAAACTTAGGTTCTAAAAGTATGAAAGTAAAGGAAAAACTTCTCTTAAACCACTTTTTTTTTTATCTAGTTCCCACATAACCTTTCGTTCTCCTAAGCTTTGAAGCCCTCAGTGTTGTAACCTTCCTTTGTAGGGGACTGGGTCATTTTAGTTCCCCCTTTGTAAAATTTGTCCAGATGCTTTTGGGGTATCTTGTCCACTGCATACTTTCTGAAATGTAGCAATCAGTGCTGAGTGATACAAGGTTTATCACACAAGAGATTTAAATGACTTAATATATTTGTGTTTTAATTTTAATCCATTTCACAATGATCCCCAATATGAAATTCACCCCGTACTATAACTTAGTGTTGCAACACCAAACACACTTACCTAAAGATAATTTGCACCAAAATCATTTATCAATATTTTAATGCAAGTGGGAAAGTTATTTTCAAGTGGAATGGCTGAGTTGCTGGTCTCTCTAATGTTTAACAAGCAATAGTTCTGTTCCAAAATCTCCAAGCTAATGATAGGCAGACAGAGACACAGCAGCACATTATTATATGCATCTAACACAACATCTGTATGCATATGTGTGTGTGTGTGTGTATCCATGTCTATCTCTATCATACCTATATACATATATATATGTATATGTATATACATGTATATATATACACACAGTATACATATGTATGTATATATGTATGAATATATGTACGAGAAAGAGTCTTGCCAACAAAATGAAGCCAATAAAATATATTTATGATTTCCTCCCATTGCTATAAATGATTACCAGTGAAGGGCTCATAAATTCTTCCAAATACGTGTGGCACAGTCTGCGATCCCAGTCATCAGTGATGTGTCCACCATACATAATCTCACCAAAGAGATAGCGCAAATCTTCCCAAGGAACCTATGGACACAATCAAATCAGTAACTGAATGTTAAGTCAGCTTATTTTCTAAAAGGACAAACTAATGTCATTTATGATCATAGTGTTGCAACAAAATTGGTGACTTTACCAGCATAACAACAAGCAAACTCCAAGCCTTTAAGATTTCAATAATTATCATGCTATACTTTTACTTTTGTTTTGCATAAAACTAGATTCATAACAGGAACATGGGAACAACATGCTCTGACAACATGATGTATAGAAATGGATTATCTTCTTCAGTTATTATTGTGAGTCAGCATATAAAACATAGAGGTATAAAGAGAAAGCAAAGAGTATATGAACAAAATAGCTGTGCATTTTTAAAATGTTCTAATATATTTTAATCTATTTCCTTAACATGAATTGAAATAAGTTTCCATTTACAGATGATAATGAGCAAAGCATGGTTTGTAATGTGCTGTTCAGAGAAAACCTGATTTTTGGGGTGTCCCAGTAATTTACTCGTGGTGATTTAGTAAATCTGGGACTTCTGTATTTAAGAAAAAGGCTTTTGAAAACATAGTTAAAAGAAATCAGATCATCAGCATTTTGTTTCCAAAAGGATAAATTGCTGAATTTTCTGAATTCATATGGATATGAATTACATTTATAGTCTAACCTGTCAATTTCAAAATTCTACACAATTTAGAATACAAAATATTTTTAACAAGCAAATGAAAAAAATATACATTTTTAAAAATCAAATTATTCTAAATCCAAAACCTATTTGCTAAAAAAAACGGACAACTTGTTCATGTGGTACATGAGACAATTTAGCAACAGATTGTTACATCATTCCCCAGCCTCAGTGTCCTGCAGGTATGTAGATTTTAACTCCAGGGTTCAATTTCCCATAGCAAAATGACACTAGGGTGGGCAAGGTTACATTGAGGTTACATGAGCCCACCAAGGGTCTTGGGTATGATCGTCAGAAACCTTTAAAAAATTAAACTTTTTAATGTAATGGAAGGAAAATAAATAAACTGGGACTAATAATTAAATTTATTTACACGTTTATTTTACTTTAAATTTAGATTAAATGTACATTTAAATATAAAGTCAATCTAGTTTATTGTCCTGTCCACATGTCTTTTATGAAATGCATCATACAAGGACGGCTGGAAGAAAGCTGCATATTGTTAAATTAGGACTACATACAAGCACCAATTCTGGAGTAGCAGAACAATAAAGTATCGGCAGATGTTTTTTTTTCTCCATTCTTTATAATTCATGTTTGGAAAGCTAGAGATACATGGGATATACTGAAACTTGGGATTTCATAGTATTTAATTGTACTATAAAACAAAAATGAAATGCCCTGAGGGTAGATCTGCACAGAGGGAAATTTGCAAAATGAAACTGACTACATAATTAAACGACAAATGTAAGAAACAAAGATTGTATCACCTAGCTTGAAACTGCAGAAAATTGAGTACTTTAAATGTCTTGCACTAAATTTCAAGGCGATAGTAGCATATCATGTAACCTGTTATTATACAATAAATGTCTAATATTAGAAAAGGGAAACAAAAGTAAGACAGCACTTTCTTCCTTACCATGCTACCATATTGAGCAGCAGCAGTCTGGAGCATAGAAATATTCAGTGTTAAGCCATTTTCAGCTAAACTTTGTTGGCTGAATGCCAGTGAATTTGGCACATAAATGGCTGTCTAAAAATAGGGAAGTGGCTTCTGCATCCATAAGGTAACCGTAGATAAGCCTAAGTCTATAATAAGAAAACCCTCACCCTTTTAAAAGAAATCCCCAAATGACCAACAAAGTCCTGTGAACTTTCTGGGTTGAAGGATAAGAATAATGAAAACATCTATTCCAATAGAAGAAAAGACATCTCACAACACATGGACAGACTCAACCATAGTCCCAGCTGGGAAACTGTGAGCATCCTAGACTAGGGAATTCCTGGAAGCTTGGCATTCAGACAAATCAGCCATCAATAGACACAGAAATAGATCATTCAGAAGAGATCAGAACATACTCTCTCCAGCAGCCAACACTCAGACAAGCAGGGATTATCAGCAGACAAACAATCAAGCAAAGAACAATACCCTAATCAAGGAACTACCAAGGGGAAAACCACACCTCCAGCAACACTGGCAAGGCAAGCTACTGTATAAAAACTAGGAGAAAACCCCACACTCACTAGCCCGGATGATGTTACCTAGTTGGGTAATGAAATGTCTGCAAGCAAACAACCAAGCTGAGAGAGCATCAAGGACTCCACAGAAAACACATACTGTCTGCAGAAAGGGGTTGTTGTTTCCTTTCTCCCGTCCTCAGTATATCATTTCTCACAAGGCCTGAATGGCAGACTAAAGCTGGAACCCCTAATGAGGACAGACTCTAGGCAGTGGAGAAATAACGTAGTATATTTTGACTATACCACTCCTATACAATACAGTGTTAATTTCTACAGTTGTGACTGGCATTATGTAACTCCTTCCCTTCTTCATTAAAAAATGCAGCATAAAGTTATTTTAACCATTAAGACATAACAAAGCATATACTGAGATTCACACATTAAGTGTACGCTGTTTCTTCAAAATGTGATATAAGCAACTTTTTCCATCTGATCAGAAAGAGCTTGAGCAAACAGCAGGGACTAGTTCATTTGCAAATAGAACTAAAACATTTTGCAAATAGAACTAAAACATTTATAAAATCTAAAGGATTTGTGTAACTGTGTTCATTCTGCTGAATTAGTATCAGTTGAGTTGGCCCTTATTTTATGAAAGCAATCAATGTGCAGAAAAAGGGTTCTGCAGTAATAGCATGAGTACAAAAACAAGTTTCAAGGAGCTTGCTATGAACACATTTCCTCTTCCTGAAGCACCAGAAAAGTACTTGATCTTAGTATCTTATTGTGTGTGTGTGCCTTTGAGTCAGACCTGACTCCTGGCAACTGCCTGGACAAGTCCATGCAGTTTTCTTGCAAGATTTCAGAAGTTATTAGCCATTGCCTGCTTCCTAGGGCTGAGAGAGAATGACTGGCCCAAGGTCACCTAGCTGGCTTCATGCCTAAGGTGGAACTAGAACTCACAGTCTCCTGGTTTTTACCCTGATGCCTTAACCACTACACCAAACTGACCGTCATTTGTTATGACCTTATTAGTGAAATGTATGTTCAAGTTGCACAAAATTCATTCCAGCAAGGCTGTCAACTTTATTCATGTACCTTTACAGGTATTCTTACACATATGCATAGGTGGCTTAACAGACTATATCATCTTCATGGTTTCTCCAATGACAAATAATCATAAACTGAATCAGTCATCTAATTTTAAAGACAAATTCAGTGGGAACATGCCCGAGAAAGTCACAACAAGGTGGCCTTCTTTAATACATAATAATGACACATGAAAGAAATGCACCATTATTTATATATATGAGGTGTTGTAAATTGCTTCTATGATCAGAATTAATTGTAGTGATTATTAATGCAGTGTTATGAACTGTCAGGTCTGCTGTATGTAATTACAGTTGTACAAATGCTTCATTACCTGCCTAATGAATTTGGCACATATGCATATATAAACCACTGCTTTTGCTAATATAATGAAGGAGAATTTTATTTATTTATTTATTTGTTTGTTTATTTTAGCTAAGCCAGTAGCAATGAACCACTTCAACCTATGTTAGAAAGTTTATGTATCCTCTGTGAGAATTTTTGAACTGTCTGATAAACAACAGGCATGTTTCCAGCTATTGCTTTTAAAGGCAAATTTATTACATTCTTGTTTAGTATGTTTGTTTCTAAATTCCAAGATTAAAAATATGATTTTGCCAAGAAGTTGCTTAATTTCTTAGTTCTTACTTTAGTGTTTGCTTCTAAATAATTGTAGAGCACATTAACACAGATGGTGAGGTCTCCCAGGTTAAAAGGGTATCTTCGATTCCATCCTTGAGGTCCAAATTTGAGTCTCCCAGCAACACAGGTGTGAAAGTAGCAGAGAGAAAAGAAAATACTTTTAAACTCCTGTTCTCGTGTACACAATTCAAGTGTATCCTGTTAAACAAAGAAATATGAAAACACAGTATTTGTATCAAATCACATCACCAAGAGGCCTTAGAGCTTACAATTATGTTTTCCATATAAGCAATAATTACATTTTTCACACAGTGGCACATAAACTATCTCTGGAAACAATTATGTCAGTTAGAAAGCTATGGAATATAATATCTAATAAAAAAGATTTGATCATTTTTCCCATGCTAAATTGACTCTATGGGGAAACCCAACATTAAAAACTGAGAAAAAGATGGTGATATGGAAAAATTGGATGGAAGCTGAGATATTGACTTTGGACCAACTGATAGATGATAAAGATGAATTTTTAACATATGCTGTGTTAAGAGGTAAATATAATCTATGAGATGTAACTCAGTGGCAACATTTACAGTTACAACATTTGTTAACAGCATTGTTTGGACCAGCAGCATTTTTAGTTTCTGAGACACCTGAGATACTAGAACAACTTGTTAAATCCTTTAAAACTAAAAAAACCTACTATTAGTATTTATAGGTATAAATCATTCTGGTATGCAGATGCTGAGAGATGAGTGGAACAAAGAATTAGAGGTTTCTGTATTGCCTAGACAATGGGAGGGTGTCTTAACTTCTATAGCATGAGTGTCAATGAGTGTTAAACTATGACTTATACAACAAAAAATAATATTTAGAATTTATTGGACTCCATTATATTTGTATAGAAAAGGATTGTCTAAGACAGCATTAAAGACAATGCCTCTTTAAAACACATGTTTTTACAATGTCCTATACTTACTAAGTTTTGGGAGAAAGTACGGGACCATATAAATGTAACTGTGGGGCAAAAGCTAAAATTTTCAGAGGATAATATTCTCTTGAATTACATACGTAGTACATGGAATTTGACAACTGGACAACATAAACAGATTCTCCATGCCCTTACTGTGGCTAAAAGACTGATATTGCAGCATTGGAAAGATAAATGTATGGCCCCATTTACTCAATGGATTGAAGACCTGATTGCACTTGCCACTTACAAGCGGATTGCCTATAGACATAGACTTTGTATGGACAAGTATAATGAAATGTGGGACTTATTTATACAAAATACAGTAGGTTAAAAAATGATAGTCATATAAACATATTAGAAATATATACATACTTGAATAATATTTGCATTAGATAAGTATATATAGAATTGT